CCAACAACCAACTTCCCTTCCTTGACGTCCTAATCTACAAAAAACCTGATGGCTCCTAGGACACACTATCTACCGGAAAAAAACACACACCAACCGCTACTTACATGCTACAATCACACCACCACCCTGCACAAATAAAACTCCGTAGCCAAGACTCTCATCTCCAGAACCAAACGCCTGGCTGACAAAGACCACTTGACAACTGAGTTACAGAATCTCTCAAATGTGTTAATCGCCAATGGATACCAGCAAAACAGGGTTACGAAGCTAATCCAAAAAGAAACACCCCCCAAAAACCAAGACACAGAAGAAAACAATGGCATGGCCCTCCTTCCTTACATCAAGGGCACTACAGATAAAATTAGCAAAATCCTCCATAAACACAATATCAAAACAGCCTTTTGCACCAACCAAAAAATAGCCAATATCCTCAGAAACCCCAAGGATAGAATCCAGTTGGAAAACCAAGGGGTCTATGAAATACCCTGCAAAGTCTGCCCAGCCACGTACATTGGACAAACAAACAGACGAATAAATGCACGTATCGCAGAACACAAGAATGCCGTCAAAAAAGAGGAAAAAAACTTCCTCTCTTTTCCAACACATGAAAGAAACAGGACACGAAATTAATTTTGCAGATTCCAAATTGCTCTTTAACATGGAACATCACCACAAGAGAATAATCATGGAAGCCATCGAGATAGAGAAACACCCTCACAACATGAACAAGCGTGACGACACATCCCGCTTGCCAGACATCTGGAAATTAGCCCTCCCCACAAAAACCGACACCAGATCCAGAGGCACACAGAATGCCATCACCAATCAACCACACCAGACCCAAACCCAGACCCTCTCCACAGATAAATTACAGACACCATCCAGTAGCCAAACCATGGTGGAACCTCCGGATGCTGCACCCACCTGCAATCCCTACACAGATCTGGCTGGCACAGGCCACAAAACCACAGCTCGCCCCTATACACGAAGCCAAGCCAGAGCCAAGTTCAAGCCAAGTTCAAGAGGTCAAGACACGAAGGCTTTAGCAACTAATCCACACCTAATGACCCACCCAAGTGGTACTCAGGATATCACTCAAGAAATCACTCCAGATATCCCTCCAGTAATTAAGGAACAAAAGAAGAAAAGGCACACTAGCCTGGGAACTTCCTCTCTGCCCAGAACATTGGAGGCTATACACCACACCTCCTCAACAGTATTTATAGGAACTCAAACACTGAGATCCTGCTCTGTTCCAGTAACAAGAAGCCGAAAACACCAGCCTGAAGATGACGAGTGAGACCTCGTCGAAACGTCGCCTAGACACCCCAACTTTTACACGGGAAGACACCCGAGGACACCAAAACCTGCATTCCTGTACCCGTGAAAATCTACGAAAGCATATATATAAAACCACAGCTCGCCCCTATACACGAAGCCAAGCCAGAGCACAACTAATTGCAGTACAGCCATCTTCACAGAAAAACTCTTCACAAAGTTCAAGAGGTCAAGACACGAAGGCTTTAGCAACTAATCCACACCTAATGACCCACCTAAGTGGTACTCAGGATATCACTCAAGAAATCACTCAAGATATCCCTCAAGTAATTAAGGAACAAAAGAAGGAAAGGCACACTAACCTGGGAACTTCCTCTCTGCCCAGAACATTGGAGGCTATACACCACACCCCCTCAACAGTATTTATAGGAACTCAAACACTGAGATCCTGCTCTGTTCCAGTAACAAGAAGCCGAAAGCACCAGCCTGAAGATGACGAGTGAGACCTCGTCGAAACGTCGCCTAGACACCCCAACTTTTACACGGGAAGACACCCGAGGACACCAAAACCTGCATATATATATATATATATATATTTCTCTGTCCTTTTAAAAAATCAGAGTAAGAAACCCCAAAGTCCACCCTAATCCCCCAATGAAAAGGAACTATTCTTGTCCAAATTGCTTAGCAGATGCAATCTAATTAGTTGCTGCTACATATGGCCCAGAAAAGACTTTGAAAATTCGCCCATGGCTTTCCTTAGGGTAGATAAAACCATTATTTGCAAAGGACCTAGGACCATAAAACCACTCTGCTTTGTGTGCACGTGTGCAAGTATTGTGGAATAAAATGGGAGTGCCTGAGAACGTCCCTTTTTATTTTCTCCCACAAGCTGCCTTTCCAACTCTAATGAGCAATTACAATCACACTTAGCAGTTAACAAGACTTCACATTTTGCAAAGTGCTATAAAAACATTTGCCAGTTACCTATCACAACATGCCTGGATGATAGGTACTTAATGAGAATCAAGTTACATGGGACAGGAGATAAATGTTAGCAAAGTCGTGTGCTGTTGCTTGAGCTGCAGGGGGTTGCCTCCTCTTGGGGAACAATCCTGCAACAGCTCTAGGGAGGTTCTGTTGGACAGAACAACAGGCTTCTGGGTCCTGCTTCATCCACCCAAGATTGAAGAAGTTCTTTGCCCAGTTCAGCTGGGCTTCACAGCAGCTGTACTGGAGCCCTGATACTGCAGCATCAGTGGCAGTTACTTGTACAGTGGTGCCCCGCAAGACGAAAGCCTCGCAAGATGAAAAACTCGCTAGATGAAAGGGTTTTCCGTTTTTTTGAGTCGTTCCGCAAGACGAATTTCCCTATGGGCTTGCTTCGCAAGACGAAACGTATTGCGAGTTCTTGCAAGTTTGTTTCCTTTTTCTTAAAGCCGCTAAGCCGTTAATAGCCGCTAAGCCGTTAATAGCCGCTAAGCCGCTAATAGCCGTGCTTCGCAAGACGAAAAAACCGCAAGACGAAGAGACTCGCGGAACGGATTAATTTCGTCTTGCGAGGCACCACTGTACTAGCAACACGGACAGGGCTGGTTCCTATTACTGGAGATGAAGGGCAAGCTGACCTACCTACTGTGCAAAGGCTCTGTGTTTCGTGTCTTCACCAGATGGGAAGACAGCAGGCTGCATGAATGCAAAGTGCCACATGAATACCGGAGAGTGGTTAAGCTACGACATGACCAATCTGCTCCCCTGAGCAGGTATCAGTTTACAGGTAAGGGCTTGAACAGCCTGTTGTTAACAGTGCAAGTGGTAGCCATCGGTTCAAATCTCAACTCTCGCTAATTGGCTGTACGCAAGCCACTAGCACTCAGTTTTCAAGTTCCATCTGCAAAATGGGGATAATAAGATGGCTCAGCTTGCAGGATCATCATAAGGAACACAGAAAGCTGCTGCAGAGTCATTTCATGAGTGCGGCTAGTACTATCTGCACCAGCAGAGGAGCACCTCCAGCCCGTGGGTCTAATTTGGCTAGGGTTACCAGACGTCCCCGGATTTGCAAATCTGCCCCCGGACAAATTCCGTCCCCGGAATGTCCCCAGATTTGCAAATCTGTCCCCGGGAAACGTGGCAGTGGCAGCCTCAGCAGCCCAGAGCCAGCCTGGTGGTGCAGGTGGCTCTGGCTGGCTTCAGGAGCTGCTCACTGCCACCACCACTGCCGAAGGGGAACCAGGGACATCCGGCGGTGCAGATCTCCTGTCCCCTTCCCCCATTGTTTTGACAGATTGGGGGAGGCTTGGGAGTCATGGGTGGGTGGGTGGGCGGTGCCCAGGAGGGGCGCAAGGCGCGTGGTTTCTCTGCCAGGCAAGGTGCAAAGCCCTTCTTTTGCATCCTGTGAAACATAAATGTGAGGAGTTTTTTAAAAACGGGCGCCACCTGCCCGTGACTCCCAAATGTCCCCTGATCAGTCAAAACAAAGGAGGAAGGGGACAGGAGATCGGGGGAGGCTCAGGAGTCATGGGCGGCAGCATGCCATTTCCCAGTTTTAAAAAAAACTCTGCACAATTATGTTTCACAGGTTGCAAAAGACGGGCTTTGCACCTTTATACAATATGTATGTGTGCTTGTGTCTTTTGCCTCACCATCCCCACTACTGACTCCCTGTTGCTACTCAGCTTAAAAAAAAAAAAAGTGTCCTCTGATTCATTGAGAAAAATCTGGTGACCATAAATTAGGGACCCCGATTTGGCCAAGCCTTGCCCACTTGCTCTGCACCTTACACCATATCTAATGCAGAGAAAAGACAGAACTGGTCTACACTGACTGGCAACACACTAAAAGACTTCAAATAGAAGCATTTTCTAGCCCAACTCTGAGGTGCCAGGGACTGCACATGCAGCCTGTCACATTCCAGACAGGCTGCCTCCCTTCCCTGAATATTAATGAGACCGTGTAGGTTATGTGAACGCTCATCGTTAAGATCATCGCTTGGTGAGATATGCGGGGTCTCACTTAGTCAGGAGCTGGGTATGCTGTCATTTTTCTAGGTTACAATGGATCATTACAGGCACAAAATGACATTTTGGCAATGCTGACTCATTCAACAGCTTTAGAGCAATTAAACATAAAGGGCATCTTCAGTCATTTTGTTTGCTTCCAACAGGCACAATTCTTTTGGAGCAGGATGTCATGGGCTGGTTGGACGCAGAGGAATTATGGGAGGAACCAGCTGGGAAAACCCAAGGGAAAAAGGCTCCGAGCCTGGGGATTGGTGGTGGCACGATGATGAGTGGTCAGGAGGAGAAAATGGGGAAGAGGTTTTGTAAGCTGAAGAGGTAGAAGGGCTTAGTGAGCCGGGAGAGTTTGTGGCAGAGAAAAGTCCAGAATCAGAGGCAGAAGCTGAAGCAGGAGAATGGAAAGAGGGAGGCCAAGAGACAGAGATGAGTCATGCTGGAGAAGAGTCATGAGGGTCTCCCCTTTGTGCTGTGACAAGCTTCCCTCTCTCCTGGTCTCCCAGAACCAGAAGAGACATGAAAAGGGTGGAGGGGACTGTGTCTGCATGCAGGCTCAGTCTCTGGTTCCTGGAAAAGCCCTGGAGAGGAGGGGACTTAGGTGATAAGACTTTCAGTCTTGACAACTGATATTCATAGAGGAAGACCACTGAGAATGAGCTGTTGTGCTCATTAGGCCTGACACTCAACCATGTCTGTGGCGATCATGTGTTTGCTAATGACGTTAACTCCAACTCTGAACTGTGTGATTACTGACCAGCGTGCTCTTGTGACACAAGGGTGGGGAACCTCAGCTCCAGGGGCCAAGTCATGCCGCCCTCTTCCCAAGCCACATCCCTCCCCTCTGATAAGTAGCCCCTGAAAACAAAGGAATTCACCTTTGGCCAAAAAGAGTCTTCCACCTTTGTCCTGCTGGCACAGAGATGAGCAGTTGAAACCAATCAGCCATGTGGCTGTTTCAAGACAAGATTCCTGACCAAGTTCAATCCCCAGCATACCAAATTTGGGCTAGAAAAGACCCCTATCTAAAACCTTTCAGCACTGGTGAGTGTAGATCAGCTCCACCTTATAGCTGCCCGACACCTGACATTGTATATACGGCATCAGGGTATAGATGGGCAAGGCTTAGCCATATGCCCCGTGGGTTGGAGGTTCTCCACTGCTGGTGCAGACAATACTAATTGGACCTGTAATTGGACTCTGCATACAGATCTCCCTGTGTTCTTTACAATGATCCTGAAAGCTGAGCCATCTTATTATCCCCATTTTACAGCTCGCCACACTCAATCTGGTTGACAGGGCTTTGATGCCCCAAGTCTTCTTCATCCATGTTCCCAGCACATTGCTCCGAAGGCAAATACCAGGTACAGGAGAGGTCCCCACCAGTACTACCAGAGTGCTCCGCAGTGTTCCCTGCTTCGAGTGCCACTTGCCTTCTTGCTTGTGGGGGCTTCGTCCGGGGTGGAGGACCTTGTCTGCACGCTCTTGTGCTGTGCAATTTTCTTGGGCTCACCTGCCTTTTCCTTCCTCTCTGTCGCCAGCTCCTGCAGCTTCCCTCTGATGTTCCTGCACTCCAAAAAGGAAGAGGGGAAGGAGGAGGAGATGTTGTTGCTAAAGGAGAATGATGGGTGGTGGAGACCCAAGGCTGATGTTAGCAAGCATCTAGTGAAGAACAGAGGTTAAGAGGAAGCAGCAGAGTCAACCTACTGGCTGAACAAGCCCAGCAACATCTACTGGGTCTGGGACCAGCTTTCTATAGGCTTTTCCATCCCTTCTGACTCCACTTTTTAAAACTGAGCTATCAAGAGGCTACAGCTGGGACCTTCCATCTGTACTCCCAGAGCTACCACCATCACCAGGAAAGTGTTTTTAAAACACATTGTTCTGGTGCAGCTGTATTTAGTGCAGCCCATCCAAGGGAGCCCCCCCACACTCACAGCAATGGCCTCACACCAGAGATCAGGCTGGCATAGTGCTAAGAGTAATCAGGCTGGGAGTGAGGAGACATGGGTTCAAATACTCTGCCACAAAACTTGCTGGGCGGCCCTGGGCTAGTCACTATCTCTCAGCCGAACCAACTTCATAGGGTTGTTGTGAGGGCAGGTCTGGGAGGGAACCATGAACGTTGCCTTGAGCTCCTTGGATGAAAAGTGTGATACAAACAACCCCCCTACCTTAATTCTTCGCTTTGTGCTTTGAGGTCTGCATCTTTCTGGTCCACAAGCTTGGACATCTCAAAGAGTTTCTCTCGAAGCTGGTTGAGTTCGTGGGCTTGGCTGTGGACAAGATGCCGTTTCTGCTCTAGCTCCATCTTCTGTTTTTCACTGAGTTCTCCTGCACAAAGAGAGTTTGGAGTGGTTTTGGGCTATATTAGCTGTAGATCTTATAGATTTACATGCTGGCTGGGACTGATGGAAGTTGGAGGTCCAACATCTGGAGGGCCAGAGGTTTGCCACTCCTGATGCAGGCACACATACCCAGGAACAGGAAAGACAGAGATGATGAACTATGACCAAACTTTCAGTACCTTGGCCCAATACACCTAAGAGGGCTTCACTTCCTAGCCCTGACTTGGAAGAGGGGGATTGTACTGTGCGCTCCCACAATACTTTTCATTTTCTCTTTCCTCTGGTACATGTGACTGTTCACCTTCTCTCTGTTTTTGTGCTAACTTTGTGCAATGTTACACCTGCAGCGATTTTAACACTAACCATGGTTAGTTTCAAACCTGGGTTTACAACCTGGGGATGCACACATTCTAGTGCGAACTGGATTAACATTGGCGTAGATGAAACACTGACAAAAAGGAAGGAAAAAAAAGCTCTGTGCATGATAAGGGAGGAGGAAGGATTGTGTGAGCTGACAGGTGCTCCCATTTTCTCCTAACCAAACCTTGCATATTAGAAACTTGGTCTCCATAGGGGCATTTGTTCAATGAAGGAAGATCTTCTTTAAAAGCATCTCTGTGTTGCATTAGCACAGCAAAGGATCCTAGAGCCATTTACAGTGTTGGCTCTACCACAGAGGTGGGCAAGCTGCAGCTCTCCAGATGTTGCTGAACTCCAACTCCCATCAGGCCCAACCTGCATGGCCAAAGCTCAAGGGCTGATGGGAGTTGGAGTCCAACAGTTTCCGGAGAGTCACAGGTTGCTCACCCCAAATCTATAAATATGGAACTCCCTCTTCTCAAACACTTTCCAAGCTGTAGGCCCCTATGCATGCTTGCCAACCAAGTAAAAGCAAAGCATCATAAACAAACAGCAACAGGGCCATCATGCACCATAAAAACTGGCACACATTTTATATATGTATTTGCTGCAGCCCAAACAAAGGAAGACACTTTCCCAGCAGTATATTTCTCTGTATTAGCAAGCAGAAATTCGGTCTCTGATTGAACTGATCCACTGTCCCTTTCTATTAAGGTGTTCCAGTTTTTTAGTTCTTAACAGTGCAATCCTATGTTTGGCTGAGTTTCACAGGCCTTGCTCCCAGATAGCTATGGACAGAGCATTCTTGGTGTGATCTGGGTGTTTTAGACTATAACTCCCATCAGGTCCAGCCGCCTGGGAGTTGCAGTTGGAAAACATCTAATAGGCTCCAGGCTGAGGATAGGAGAGAAGGTGGTAAAAAACATATTAAGTTACATGATGCTATTTCACAAACCAATCACATCAGACACCCTGGCTCTGGCTTCTGAGAGTTCCTTCTTTAACTCTGAAATGACAGCCTGGTTGGACACGATTTCATGCTTTGCAGCTGCTAATCCTTCCCTGAAGTTTGTGAAACAAAAATGAAGAAGCAAAAAATTCAGTCTGAATAACGCAGCTTGAGATGCTCATTCTTTATTTGATTATTTTAAAACCTTTTAAGTCTATCATGAGGAAGATTATGGGGGAAAAAATCCCTCCAGTTTTGATGCAAGTCAATACGTATTTGGGGGGTACAAATGGAGATGGCTTTCATCAAAGTGGCTCATTAGCATACTGTCAAGTTATGCCACCAGAATGGGAGGCTGATTAGACAAGCCTCAAAATATTATAATGCACTTTGGAAATATGAGTCATAACCCCTCTTGAGAATTCTCACAAACATATATTGCTATTTCCAAGGCTTCCTTTTCCCACAGCTTTTGAGTAATTTATGCTATAGAAAGCAGCAATAGGAAACCGACAGGAAATTTAGTGACTTACTTCAGGAAAACATCAGAGCCTTCCGGGCAAGGAACTTCTGGTGGATGAGCTGGCAACAACTTGCAAGATTCCCTCTGCATGTCTGAGGAAAAAGAAAGACACCCAGAAATATAAAAATATTCTGAGAAACGTAAGGTTTCACATCTGGATTATTATCCTGATGACTTCTCAAGAAGAGAATGGCAAACAGCATAAAACTATACAATTTAGAAAAAAAACTTTTTAAAACATTTTAAAAAGAAATCGAAAGCATTAAGATAACATTTAAATCTGTCTGGAGTTCAACAAAAGGCTTTTTTGATCAGTAAACTATTCAGATTAATCAGTTGTGCCTAAGATGGTTAGATACTCTCAGGATCGTTTTTCAGACTACAACTCCCATCATCCCCGTGTTTGCCTGGAGGTAAAGAGAGTCGTAGTGCAAAACATCTGGAGGCCACTAGCTTAGAAAAGGCTGATTTAAATCAACAATTGTTTACTCAGTTAGGGTAACTGATTAAAACATTTTGATTTAAGAAAAAAAGTCACCCCTTGAGTTAATCAATCAGCAGGTTATTTTAGAAAACTTCAGTGCAGTTTGTTGGCATGAACTGGCCCCAAGTATGACAGAATATGCCAAGGGCACCAGACAAGAGCATTCTCTGTTTTCTCTGCTGACCTTCTATTTGCTTCTGAAGCTTTGCATTTTCCTCCTTTGCCGCCTTCAGCTTCTGGACAGCTTCCACAAATTTGTTTTCCAAGTCCACTATTGTCTTTGAGTGTTGCTTGATCTGTTCCTTATATTCTGTTATCTCCTCCTGATGCTTCTGCTTCTGCATCTCATTCTCATTCTCAATGCTCTTCAGACGTTTCTCCCAGACGGTTAGCTTCTCTTCTGCCACTGTCTAAAAACGAGCAAACCCCCAAACAGAACTCATTCATTTTGCTCAGCACATGGGTGACTTTTTCAGATAAAGCCATTGTCAAGGGTGCTAGGAGAAAATCAAACCAGCAAACCTTCATGTTTAGTTATTTATTTGTTCAATTTGCATCTTGTCCTTCATCAGTTTCCTTGCCCCCAGGGTGCGTTATTCTTAACAAATTTTGGGGGCAGTTGGGAGGGAGGAGATTATGATTCACTTGAATTAGAAAACTTTCTTAATACAGCACTTAAATCAGTAACTGGTTTATCTCAGAGACATGCTTTGAGATGTGGGAGGTGGATGAGGCCAGACCTTAATTTCCAACCCTCCAAAATGGCCTTTCACAAATCTCCCATTCCAGCAGCTGCTGTCTTTCATCTCCAAGTTGAAAACGTGGGAGCAGCTGTCACTCCTCAAAGGGCCAAATCTGGGGCTAGGAGTTTCTAGCTGCTCAACTCTCAAACAGAATTGCTTGCACTCCTCTGTCACCAGTTACCTTTCTTCTTGTAGCCTCTTCTAGGCTCTCCAGAGCCTTCTTTATCTTGGCATTTAGAGCTTCTTCTGATTTTGTTTTAAGTTCAATTACCTGTAATGAACATATTATTAAGAAGTGAGAAGATAGAACCTAGGCTTCAGAGAATGGAGTGTTGTTTGTCTTAGTTAAAAGCCTGGCAGACCAGAGTTTAACTTGCCAATAACTGTGCTGCTGGAAATCAGACACCAGGAAGAGTCTGGATTAGAGAACTTCAGATGAGAATGGCAGGGTGGGGAAGCAATGATGATAACACTTTATTTTATCCCTCTTTCAATTCTAATTTAGTTCACATATATTGCCATGCAATGGGAAAGGAGAACATGCTTCAAAGCTTACTAACTGGTGTTTTGCATTTATATCCCACCTTTTACTCAATTCAGCATATCTAGTTCTCCACTGCAGCCTCACAAAGAGCCTTGGAAGGCAGGGAAGGTTGAGAGACAGTGACTGGTCCATTGTCACCCAAGTGAGCTTCATGGCCAAGTAGGGACTAGAATCTGGGCTGCCAGCATCCTAGTCAAGAGGCCAGTTTGCCTCCCTCCTCCCCCCACCTCCTCCTCTGTGATCTGACTCCCTTTGAGATGCACTGTCTCAGACATCCGGATTACTTGTGCTTGCCCTGCAAATGAGGATCAGAAGCCACATTCAAATCATAATGCCCATTGTAGTGGAGAGGGCAACACAGACCATACTTGGCTTTGAGTCAACGTAGTGGAATGGTCAGACCTAGGCATGAAACTCACGCTCAGCCACTTGGTAACCTTGAGGCACCCTTGCCTTCTCAGCCTACAATGGTTTTTTTGTTTCTTTGCCTGTTTGTTTGTTTTTGAGAGGGCAAAATGTGGAGGTGAAGGGAAGCAAGAACCATGTACTCTGCCTTTAGTTCCTGAGAAGAATGGTGTGATATAAAAGTGGAAAAGGACCTATGGTTATTAAGTAACTTAATGTAGGAAGAAGTGCTTCCTTTGAACACTCAAAATGCACAATATAAATATTGATCTCTCTAGCTGTCTGCTAGAGGAGATTGTGGGATGGCAATGAGGAGGCAGGCCCACGGATTTCTATATACCTCAGCCGATCGCTTCATCTGAGCTTCCAAATCTCGGACCTTTGTCTTTTCTTCATCAATTGCCTCCTTTAATTTTGCTTCCTCCAGGGCAGCCAGCCCCTCCAGAACCTGGGAAAGTAATTTAATTCTTCCTGTTAACATGGTTAAAGCAAATGAAGGAAATTTGCTAGGCAGAAACGGCTTGGTGACAGATGAACAAACGTTAAGTTAACAATCTGGTGGGAGAGGCCCTTAAAAAATAATTGGTTGCATTGGGCACAGCATTGGGGGAGGGGGGAGTTACAAAATACCAAGCATATGAGCTACTGAGATGTATGTTCACAGCATGATTGGATGGAGGACCAGAATTATTAAGATACCAGTTCCAAAGGGGGTAGGCTTAGGTAATTGCATTTTTGTATTGTTGTTACTACTATTACTATTATTATTACTTTGTGATGCCGCAACAACTGACCTGCCTTGCTCTGTGGGCTACTCCCTGATAGCACATCAAGGCATCTTGTTCCACCTTCTTCAGTTCTTACTATGTAGGCCTAGTATGTCCCCATTGCCACTTCCATTTAGAAGGTGGGTTCAAACACTTTTAAAAACACCCCTAAGCTTTCTTTGTACCTTCTCATTCTCCTGAAGTTCTCGCTCTCTGTCTCGAAATTGCTCCTCGAGTTTTTCTTTCAGTTCACTTAGCTTCTCCTGCAGGAAGGAATCCTGAGACATCTCTGCCATCTTCAGCTGGTTCTATAGCAAAAGATTCAGACCGTCAGGCCTGCTTTGGGCTACTGGCCTCAGCCAGAGAAGCTCACTTCAGGGAAAACACCTTTTACCTGCAGCGTCTGGAGTTTGGCCATGGTCTCATGGTGTTTGCCCAGCAGCTTCTTCATGTAGGAAGCCATTCCTGACAAAAACAGACAAGCACGATAACAGAAGGGAGTGACCAGGCTTCATCTCTCTCCTCTGTTTCCTGGAAAATTCCTTTCTTTAGCCAGGTTTCCTTAAACGGAGCTCATTCTGGTGCAGCAGTGAAAAACGTTTTGGACTAGGGCAGGACTAGGGATCCAGCAGCCCTCCAGAAGTTGACGGACCCATCAGCCTCAGTCTCACAGGGTTGTTGTGAGAATGAAATGGGGTGGGTGGGATCATGAACACTGGCCTGTGCTCATTGGAGCAAGTTCAGGATTGAAAGGGGTGTGTGCTCGCACATGTATGTGTGTGTGTACATAATGCCATTGCCTTGTACCTGGACAATTAATCTTTCTCTTTCCTGGATTACATGTTCCATTTTCAGGATCAAAAAACACATGGTTGGAACTCCCACTGTCTTTTTATTTTACAAAAAGCAGCTATAGCAGGTTCTGTTTATTTGTTTAGGAATCTATAAACTGCAGTTCTGCCAAAAATGGCACACAAAGCAGTGTAAAATACTAAAAACTAAAAGTACAATTATTATGGTTATGCTTACTAACTTATCAACCATCATAAACTGTTGGCAGGTGGTGGGGAGGTTCATGGTTACAATGCCGGTGCTGGATTTTGGTTATGATGGGGAGGGGAGAGGGTACTTTGGCTGGGGCAGTGATCCTAGGGCAGCATTGCACTCTCACTTAGGGTCCTACAGTATGATTAATGTGCACAGAAAATGTAAGAGAGACAAGGGAACCTTTTTCAGAGCCAGACACATCAAGCCCCACATCCCGAAGGAGACATTCCACTGCATCCACCCAGCCCAGCAAACTGCAGAGGACTCCGGCCGTTGAGGTCTGGACTCCCAAGGCAGGCGGGGTCAGGCACAGATTCTGAAGATTGCAGATCTCTTTCCTCAAGCTGTTGCTGCAGTAAGAGGTTCCCAAGAAATCCTAGCAAGAAAACAGGGAAGAGATGAAGCAAACCCACACAGACATGAGTGTGGGTCATTCTTATCTTGAAGCAGCAGTGAAGACTCATTTCCCCACATAATATTCTCGGCTGTTTTTGTAACAGCTAGTTGCTCTAGCAATAAATCATTTGGTGTTGTGTTTCAACAGTCCTCATCTTCCTGTTACAAGGAAGGAATTCAGAAAAGATAACAATCCCCCCAAGTCATCTCTCAACACTCCAGAGCAATTACCCAGGCCAATTATTTTTCTTTCTTAAAAAAAAGTAATTCCCAAGTATAAGCCTGATGAACTGGATACTGGCAGGGGCACACAGACGGATTCTTTTGGGGAGTCGTTTTAGCAATCTGGACTGGACTTATTTAGATGACCAGTGGAGCCTTTTTCATGACATGATGGGTGGGGCCAGAGGGAAAAAAATGGGTGGAGCAACAGGTGCAATTCTTTCCTTTGTACAACTGGCTTCATCCTGGTGGTGCAAATGTCAGAGGTTTCTACACCCATACATTTTCCCATCAGGCAAACCAGTAACATTACTGCAGTTCAGGGACACTTCTAGCTAGGCAAAAGCATTCAAGGAGGGCATTGAGCAGGAGCGGTGAGGGGTAGGGCCTGGGAAGAGTCCTGTGGACCAGGCAGAGAGGTCTGGAGGGCAGGATATGGCCCCTGGCCCTGAGCATTCCTGCCCCTGCTGCAGACCAGTCCTGTGCAACCTGCATGTGTAGAATTCCACCATAACTCATCTAAACAAAATGAGAAAGCTAATATCCTATAAAGATGTGTCTAAAGCATTACCTGAAGTCCATCCAACGCTTTCTTCAACAGCTCAACATTTCCAGACACTTCCTCAATTTCAGAGTTCTTGGCAAGTAACTCCTCTTTCAGCAGTGCCTCCCTTTGGCAATACTCTTCACTGGTCACCTGGATTTCCTCTATCTTCTCAACAATCTGATATGTGTGGGTTAACAAAGAAAAGTCAGTATATATTATTTATCTGCTCACTCCTGGGTTTTATGCTTCACTTCCCACCTGAAATACATTTGAATATTCATTTCCTCATTAAAAAGTAAAGCTGCGTGTTGAAAGCACGTCTCCACCCCCTGTTTTGCTCAAAATTCACCTCTTGTACCAGTACAACAATAATGGAATCTGGTGAATTCTCATCATACACCTCCACCCCATAAGGCAGTGTGTGTGTGTGTGTGTGTGTGTGTTTTGTGTGATGCTCTTAATCAGGGCTGGCCTGCTGGGGGACCTTTCAGTGGTCCCCTATGGCTTGCAGGCACAGCTTGCATCCACCAAGAGTTGTGTGTTCAGTATCATGGGTCCAATTTTTTTTGAACTCCCTTCCAGCTGAGGTCAGACAGGCCTCCTTCCTACGCAACTTCCAACGCCTACGGAAGGCATTTCAACTGAGGTTCAATTTTATAGTTTTAACTTATTTTGTGTACTGTATCTTTGTAAACCACTTAGGGACTCTTGTATTTCAGAGGTATATAAATCATTTAGGTATTTTTTTTTAGTGCCCATGGCATGGCAAGGAACTCAACAAAGGCAGTGAGCAACAGCATGGTCCACAGCACAACATTAATCTTCCTGTGTTTAATGGGCGAAGATCTTACCTGCTGATCTGTTAGTGCCTTCTCTGGAAGTTGTGAAAAGAGGGCTTCAGTAAGTTGGTGTCTAAAGCGCTGTGCCTAACAGCAGAAAACAAAGAGGGGGAAAAGGTTGATGGTAAAACTTAACTGAAAGCAGCGACCACCCCCCTTCCAGCACAGAGCTGTAGAGTTGGAAGGGACCCCAAGGGTCATCTAGTCCAAACCCTTGCAAGGCAGGAATCTCAGCTCAAGAATCCCTGACAGCTAGCCATCCAACCTCTGCTTAGAAAACTCCAGTGAGTGCACTAACTTCCTTGCTGAGAAATACAGTGGGTTGGAAAAGCAACTAGGAATCTTGTGGTACCCAAAACATTTTCTTATGGTATACATTTTAATGGACCAGAATCCACTTGATCATTCAAACAAGCAAGCCACACTTTGGCTAATTAAACCACGTGCAAACCAGGACACCATAACTGATGTTTCAGCTGCCCCTACCTGAGCTGCTGCCAGATCCAGATCCGACTTAATGAGGCGCTCCCTGCGCCCCATTTCTTGTAACTGCTGGGATCGCCTCTCACACTCTTTTTTCAGGTCCCTTCAGCCTGAAACAGGGAAAGTCTGGGGATAGCAAGGCTGTACAAAAATAGGGTGGGGGCCAGAGGGAGGGCAGACTTCAGGCTTACTGCATCTGTTTTGCTTCTCATAAGGAATGCAAGACCTACAAGTCAGACCAAACTGCAAAAGATACAAAAGCAAAGGACAAGATGCGTCTCTCCCAGTTAGCTTTTCAGTAGCTTAATTTAGGTGCAAAAAACCACTTTGTTCTTGCCATCGTTAAAACAATTTGGAGTCAGAAACCCCTTGCAAACCACCCCAAAATCTACCAGTAGATCACGTTCTATCTACTGCCCACTCTTGGTATAAGTGAGTCATAGTGCTGCTTCCTTTTCACAAGTATCGTAGCTAATTCCTTCCAACTCTTTGATACAACAAATCTATGATCAATGTAATCCTCTATGGTTAGTGTGTTTGACTGGAATGTGCCATTCTGGACTGGGCAGTCTTTGACTAGATGTGAACATTTTACCTGTGGTTACTTTGCCATCTAGTGGCGAGATAGGATATGCACAGAAACGCCACTTTCACCAATGCTCTTAATGATGTGTGGTGTGTGTTTTATTTTTCTGTTTGCTGCCCTGGGCTCCTTTGGGTGGACCCATGGAATAGACATTTAAATAATGATTTATTTTTATTTTTACAGGAGGGATGTACGGCTGGTACCCTCACTCCCAGAACTCCTATATTAGAAGCTACCCTCAAGGAAAACTGTGAAGAAAATAGCCATTTACCTTTGTTTTTTCAGCAAGTTTGTTGGTTAACATTCCGTGCTCCGTGCGGAACTTATTTATGTCTTCTTTGTATCTCTTCACCTGTAGCTCCAGCTCGCTGATTTGCTGTAGGCACCAGAGGGAAGTGGGGAGGATCAGTTGTAGAAAATCACACCAACCTTTATCCCAAGGATTTTTTTTAGTATGTAAGAAACACAAGCAGAGGTCCTCTGAGTGGTAAGAAATTCTAGCGGATTGTGGTCACAGCTACCATCCTTATTCAAAGCAGAACTGATGTCTCTCAGGCAGTTAATGTGGTTAGTTGCTGACCGGATCCAATTTCTATTCCAGTCATATTTAAACATGTAATACTTAAGTCATGCCTTCTAATATTGAACACGACTGGTGTGTGCTGAGAGGAACTGCAGCCGACACAGAACCACTAAAGAACAAGAAGGAAGGGCAGCCTGCTTGGGGGAGCCTCAAGGTTTGCAGAAGTAAAAACTATAGATAGATGTGAAAGGAGCAACCTTACCTCCCCCCCCAAAAAAAAATGATGTTTGAGCACGCACAGTGGCCACTAAAGATTGTATCTAAAATCAGTCCTACTTATGAGTAAGACTCATTGAAATTAATGGACATTAAAGTATTTCAATGGGCTTACTCTGCAAAAAACTTAAATGTACTCAACTAAAAACTACTCAAAATCAGACCCACTGAAATTAATGGAGCTAAATCAGACATGCATGTTAATTGCAATGGGTATACTCTGAGTAGGGACGCGGGTGGCGCTGTGGGTTAAACCACAGAGCCTAGGGCTTGCCGATCAGAAGGTCGGTGGTTCGAATCCCCATGACGGGGTGAGCTCTCGTTGCTCGGTCCCTGCTCCTGCCAACCTAGCAGTTTGAAAGCACAAAGTGTAAGTAGATAAATAGGTACCGCTCCGGCGGGAAGGTAAACGGCATTTCCATGTGCTGTTCTGGTTTCACCAGAAGCGGCTTAGTTATGCTAGCCACATGACCCAGAAGCTGTATGCCGGCTCCCTTGGCCAATAAAGCAAGATGAGTGCCGCAACCCCAGAGTCGTCCGTGACGAGACCTAACGGTCAGGGGTTCCTTTACCTTTATACTCTGAGTAGGAGTAGCCCTGATTCAGCCTAGAATGTTTACTGCCAGCTGGAAAAGGAAAATAGAAAGTCTGGGGCGGGAGCAGAGAAATGGGATAGAGTTTCCTAGAAGAGAATGAGGCTGGAATGCTCAAGAGGAGCACTCCAGCTAGGAGGAAAGCACACAGTGCAAGACAGGTGCTGCAGCCCCCCATTTGCAATAGGCAATCTTAAAACTAATAAAGGGTTAAACTGCTAGCGAATCCATCTATCATTCTAAGTCTGCATGGGTGTTATATTCATGAGCAAATGTTAAGTAAACTGAAGGCTAACTCACATTCTGATAAGCATTTACTTCTCTCTCTCTGAATTCACGCTTCATTTCCTCTTTAATCCTAGCACACTGCAACGAACAGCAACGAAGGAAAACATGATCAAGCAAGAGAGACATTACCATGTTCACATTGGCGCTTCTGGTATATAGTAGGGTGCCTTATTCCCATCTGGAAGTTCAAATTTCACAACAAATAATGTTTTGTTGTTGTTTTAAAAAACATACCCCCCCCAAAGCAAAATATCAATTCTAAATGCAGGCGCCTTCATCCAGCTCCCTGATTATTAAAGACTTCTGCAAGAGTTTTACAGCAAAGGAAGAAAAAACAAAAAAGCCATGAGCACTGAATCTGAGCAAGAACGACACAGATTAAAAAATGTCAGGTATATTGCCAGTCAAAGCCAGCTTGCTTTGGGGGAAGCAGGAGAAGAAGACCTTTTCTTTGGCACTTAAAACATAAGGTATCCTGGACTGTGATCACTTATGCACAGTAGTCCATGTGTTGGTAGTTTCAAGACTTGATTACTGCAATGTGCTTTATGTGGGGCTTCCCTTAGGCCTGGTCCAGAATTCTCAGCATGGCAAGTAACTTTCCAACAGCATTTAATACCTGTGGGAGTAACTTTCCAACAGCATGTAATACCTGTGCTGCAGGAACTGTACTGGCTGCCTATATAGTACCTGTCCAGGTTCAAAGTTTCACAACTGGTGTACAAAGCCATAAATGACTTGAGTCAGAGGACCTTAAAGAGCACCTTACCCCCTTTTAGGCTGAGCAGAGCCCTGAGATTTTGGGTAGTGGCTCATGTCCCAGAAATCAAATCTCTTTATATTTCGAAGGTATCGTTCAACGAAGTCACCGAGCAAAGTCACCAGTGAAGGTGAGGCAGATGCTGACACTGCATGGTTTTTCGCATGCTGCAAAAACATTTTTATTTCAGCAAGCATTTCCAGAACATTGATTTCATCTAGCCACTTTTAATGCTCCTCTGTTGTATTTATGGTGTATGTTATTCTGTATTTCTATAGCTCACTGTCCTTGCTTTGTACCCCAAATATTTTTGCCCTTGTGTCCCTGAACTCTGATAGTGCTTCTTGCTTGCCTGGACAGAGGATAGAGAGAGGTGTGCGAGTGAGTGTAGAAACTAGCCTGATACACAAAAGTAAAGTTCACATTCGTCAATGTGCCACTTTTGTCTCTGGGCCACCCAACACTGGCATGCGGCGCTTAGAAGGTTTCCCAGAAGAGAATGTGGTCCTCAGGATTAAAAAGGCTTTTCAAATATCGTGAGATTAAAACCAATAGATGATTTCCATATTTTTAATTTCCAGCATTATATGGAAACTATGTGGTCTTCCCATCCCAGATTTCTTTTGTAACAAGTGTCCCCTCGGCCATAACTTTTGACAAAGCAATGAGTTTATTGCTTGTGATATGCTTGTGATATGTGGCCAATATCCAGGGAGTTTATAATGTTCATGCCCATTTCTAAGAGCCCAGTAGCACCTGAAAGACTAACAAATTTATGTGGCGCAAGAAGACTCTCTTGCTATTTTGGAAGCAACAAAATAGCATGGCTGCCCCCTCCTAGAAATTGTTTCAGGTTTTGATATACTTGATTTTATCAAGCAACAGGACCAAAGGATGCAAAGTTTGCAAAGCCTGTATTTAAGGGAGGTGATTTTCTTTTTAGTCATTTTTTTGTTTTGTTTACATGTTGGCTGCAAGCCACCCTGAGCATCCTGTTGGGAAAGGTGACCCTTCTCTGATTTATTTACGTAGTTTATATTTATTCCATATTTCAGAGAAAGCTCTGAGCCGTTTACAGCATCATAAAATAACACCAAAAGGTTTTTTTAAATACACACCCACCCACACCCACACACCACACACCACAACCCTACATTTTGAAGCCATGGCACAACAATTAGGTATGCCATAAAATATAAAATAAAATAAAATAAACCAGCCAACTTATAGGGACCATATTAACTACTAGCAGAGCCAAAATACAGAAACACAACAGAGACAATCAGAGCTACGCATCAAGGATACAAGCATGTATTTATAGGTAGCAGTAGCTTTCTCACATGCAAGCTAAAGAAGAGCTTAGTTGCTGGATCAAGACACAGGCTTATCTAGTCTATAGTGTTCTCACAGTGGCCAACCAGATGCCCCAAAGGGAAGCCTACAAGCAGGTCTTGAGCGCAGCAGTGCTGTTGCCACTTGCAATTCCCAGCTATCTCCCATAAATCCAAACACAGTTTTCAACTAACGAGATAAAAAGCAGCTTGGCCTGCTCCTCTGCCTTGAAACAGCTGCCTGGTCTGCAACAACTCACAGGCCGTTTCAGGGAAGTGCTACTCTCAGCAGCAGACCAGCTGTTCGAAGGAACAGGGACAGATGGGTAAAAAAGTTGGCAAGCAAATCCAGACCAGGGTGCATGTGTACTGTGGACCAGGCGATAAACAAGCCAAGTGTCAAAGGAAGGACTAGTAGTAGCTCCTTGAAAACAGGTGAGGTGATGGCCAAATGAAAAGAATGCCCCAAATACAAAACATCTATTTACATGGGAGTACTTTGATTGCAGGAATGCAGCCCTGGGCCATATTCATTAAAAACATTTGTTTTGAATTAACCTTGCCAGCTGGAAACCAAAGCACCACACAAATCACCGTGAATAGTTTAATTGTCTTCCATTTTCAGTAGAGTATGGGAGTGACCGGGTGGATGGTGTCTGTGTGTGGATTGGTGGATGATTGATACTGCATGAGCAGGACGGACCCTATGATTTGTGTAAATGCATGGCAGAGTTTGGATGAGAGGTGTGATGGGGTTAGTGATGCATATTTTGAATCATGCTTTGCCTTTGGCAAGACAGAGGCTGAAGAAGCAAGAGGTCCCTGCTAAGGCGCTTTCAAAATGTGATGGGGTTTTTTATTGTTTTACATTACATTGCATTACATCTTTGTATTATATCTTGTTTTCCTGTTTCATTCTACCACCACCACCTCTTATATATCAGTTGTGAGGAACAGTCGGCCCTCCAAATGTTGCTGAACTACAACTCCCATCAGTCCCAGCAAACATGCCCAATGGCCAGGCATGACCAAATGTTCCCCACCTCTTAGATAGATAGATAGATAGGTGGGTGGGTGGGTGTATAGACAGATTGTGTATGTGTCCTTGTGTAAACCACCAAGAGACTGCCTTAGGGTTAAGTGTATAAATAGTATGAATATATAGATAAAACAAGTCAGCCCAAAAGCATCTGAATCAGTATTTTTAACTGAAACTAATTGAAACAGTGGGTGGCAGCATCCACACTGCCTTTTGCTCATGCCTAGAAAACTGGTTCTAGAAAACCATGCCGGTTGTCTAGCTTGTGATGGGGTGTGTGTGTGTGTGTTTTAAATAAGGAGTTGAGCACTGGGATAAACTTCCAAATTGCATTTGAATTAATGTTTATAAAATTGCAAGTAGTTTGCCTGAAGTGGAGGTGGGGATGGGTGGGGGAAGAAATGCATTGCACCTGGCATATTTGGGCAGCTGCCAGGGCCCATGAGCCCCAGCAGAGCTCGCCAGGGCTGGTATCACCTTGCCTCAGCTGCTGCTTATGGTGCTGGCGCTGGCAGTGCTACAGCCTCCAGTCACCCCCTCCCTTCAAAAAGCATTACCTGCTACAGTGCAGCCTCTGTTGGGAGCAAGGTGATGGCTCAGCTCTTGACTTGATGCCATGCTAAAATTCCAACAATGCAATGCCCAGATTAGCAGTGAGCTGTGGGGGTTGTAGCACAGGAGTCCTGAGCACTAAGTGGAGCAGAAGCTGCTCAGCTCGTAACAGTAGCTATACCATGCTGGGTAAACCCGTCTAGAGAGTGACAGGCAACCACAGTTGTGCCAGGGGAGGGCAGGTGGTGGTGGACACCAGCAGCAATGGTGGTATTGGATGGCAGTGGGGAACTAATGATTCAGGGGGTTCCTGACTGCTGATGCTAGGTGTGAGTGGGTGTCCAGCTGGTAAATATGTACTCAAGCCTGGTGCCAGTCCTGCAACCCAGTTAGTATTTGATTTGCAAAGGTCGTGAGAAGCCATGTTTACTTATGGGGCAAGTAAAATGCAGGAAGGTATCTTCTGAAGGTACAACAGTGTGAAGGGACTTTCAAAAACACGTTGCAATACCATGTTGAGAAAGTCAGGTATTCCATTAGGCATGAAGACCTCTTTGGATCTTAGCCATTTCCTGTGACAGTAATGATCCAGAGATTTATTGGCTTAAAAAATACATCCCCCAAGTATCAAATCACTGCAGGAGTACTAGTGAAAAATAGATGCAGGAGAGGTACAGACCTTTGTGCAAAAGTGAAGGTTTGTAAGAGCACTCATTAGTTAAGAACGTTACAAAAGACTGGGATAGAATCAGCAATGCACGAAGCAGCACAAGTCAAACCTACAGTTCTGAGAAAGGGCTTTGATCAGTCAGAGATGCACAACTAACTCTTTTAAATGTCTCTTTGCCTATTGTTTTAAAATGCTACAGGGGGGCATGATTTGTCTAAAATTGGAACTAGGGGCTGAGACTGTGTAGTTTGTAAGAGGTCGCCTAACACCTACCCTGCCCCAGAATTTAAATACTCTGAAAGGGAGCCTTATTGTTACAAAGGCAGGCATCCAACATAAAGAGACTTGCATGGTTTTCAAAGACACACATAAGAATCAGGAATGATAATAGAAGTGGAAGTGCATTAATGAGTGACAGCGGAATTCAAGAGCCAGACTAATTCAAGAACCAACCTGAAAGCGAGCATGGGAGGCACAGCATCGTGCACCGATGGAAAGAAGGTAGAAGGAATGACCCATGAAGCACAAAATGGCAACCAGGTGGCCTTTCCTGGTTACTCCAGAGCAAGGAAGAGCAGTAGGAGGCCATGAGGCTGCATAGCAGGCTGTGCAGAGGGGTTGGTTCTACTGCATCACCTGACTCTCTAGGGAGTTCTGAGGGATGGTCAGCAAATACCTACAGCTCCCTCTACAGTGAGTGGAGCCAGTCTACAGGTGTCACAGGTCTTGAGCTGGGGGTCCCTGGCAACTCCGTGCAAAACACTACTCCAGGGGTGGGGAACCTCAGGAACCAAATGCAACCCTCTGTATCTGGATAACTCTCCCTTAAGCCACACCCTTCACTGGCTCTGCTTTGCTTTTCTGGAATGTGTCCTTGAGCTCTAATCATGCACTTTGTCAACGTTAATCCAATATTCCTACAATTTAGTTATTCAAAAGGGAAGAACATAATGGACGGGTGTGTGCATTGTGTGGGGTAGCACCCCACATACTAGAATCCAAGCAGGGTTTTAAAAAACATGATTATTCACCTGGGCAGAAAACCTGGGCAAGTTGGTTATCCTTCTCCCTGCTTTCTCTCCTAAACTTCTCCACCTCTGTTTTCAATTGCTGGATGTTATGATCCTTTGATGTAATGTCTTTTTGCAAACTGGTCACCAGTCCTGCGGGAAGAAATAATAAGGCATAGATTATTTAAAAAAAAGTCGTCATAATGATGTCTTAAAGAATATTAATGAAATAAATAAATAACCTGCTCAGAGGAGACTCATTGAAATGAGTAGACTTCACTTAGTGATGTTCATAAATCACAGTGGTTCTACTCTGAGTAGGATTAATGCTGGTTACAACGCTAGAGGTTCTTCTGGATGACTGCAGAAAGGAAGCCCTTAGAAGCCAATTTGAGCTTCCCAAATATAAGGCAGCGAGGGAAAGAAGTGACCCAAGCTGTACAAAATAAGGAGCAACTGATCCCGAAGTTATTGCTGACTGGACAAAGCACACCTGTTGTAAGAGAATAGCTCTTCTTCAGCGCCTCAGTTTCTTGCTTCCAGTGTGCAATTTGTAGGTCTCGTTCAGAAAGGGAATGGTACAACACTTCACTCGTGTTACTCTGCAAGTTGCAAACCTATTGCAAACATGATTATGGAAACAAAAGATAGAACACAGCCAGTTCACACCAATTTAGATTCCATTGTGCATTGCTATAGCACCAATTCAGACAAGAAAACCCCTGTGAGGCAGGCATGCAGAGTGATCCGACAGTTACATTACACTGGGTGGGAAGTCTGGAGAAGACAGGATCTGTGCAGCTCCACAAAGCCAAGTCAAAGGGAGATGGCACTCTCACTGTGGCAAGTGACTGTGGCCCCTGGTCAGGCATTTCAGGCATCACAGTAGTGTAGTTGCAATGGGCATTAATGCTGCCTGCAGAACTGTTTCATTTCCTCCTCACTCATTCATTAGCTTCTAGAGCAGAGGTGGGAGAATCTGGGGGCCTCCTGGTGCAGTTGGACTCGAACTGCCAGTCCCAGCCAGTGTGGCTAATGGTCAGGGATGATGGGGTCACATGCTCCATATCCCCAGGGGCATAGGAAGGGGGGTGCAGCCCACCCCGGGTGTCATCCTTGAGGGGGTGACAAAATGGCACACCGCGGGGGGTCAGCACTTACCGCGGGGCCTGGCCTGCAGTGCGCCCGAGCCCCACGTCTCTCCTGGGAGTGACGCGGTGGCTTGGGGCCCCGCACTGCCCAAAATGGCGGCGTGGGGCTTGCGTCCGCCAGGCAGACTCCGTGGGCAGCTTGCTGCGCCACCCCCGTGGGTGGATCGCCCTGCCCCCGCTGCTTCAGGTCCTGGAGCAACTAGCTACACCCCTGCGTATTCCTACAATGTATCTCCATCACCAGGTCTCCAATTTTGCTGTCAGGCTGCCTGAACCCCACGCATTGGCTCTTCCATTCTAAACCCAGACATCTAGGCAGATCTCTACAGCTGTGCATTATTTTATGCTTATCCTTGTCCCACTGGCAACTTCTTTGGATCACCAAATAATCTGTGAGCCCCCAGGGGCAGAATGTCTACAACTTTAATAAATGCAGCCTGGGAAAAGGGCTGAGTGTGGCGAGAACAGCTTTGTCTGTTTTCATACATCAAGTTTAAATTGCTTGAGTGCCTCT